CAAAGTTACTATAATTTTTTGTGGTCTTTTCTTTTACTGAATTTGGCGTTCCAGAAATTGTATCATAATAGATCTGCGAATTTCTTCCCTAAAATCATATAGTATTTTACTGCCGTTCACAAAAGGATCATCAATTAATACATTTAATATGAAAAAAAACAGAAGTCAATAATAATGATAACACTAACAGTAATAAAATAAATTTAATAAAGGTTTATTTGCTAGGATCTGATAAACATTCAGCACTTAAAATTCATTTACATTGGTTGTTATTAATTTGCAAAAGTAATTTAATAAAAATTTCTATTTAAAAAATCATTTTCCCTTAATTTTCTGTCTGAACCTGAAAATTGCTCTCGATCCAATTTTTTACCATCTCCAAGCATTCTGAATTATTAAAGTGAAATTGCATGGCCCTATCATCATCCCATTCCCACCAACCAAACAATTTTAAAGTAATAAACCATTCCAGCACATCTTCATTTCTCAAACCTCGAATAAAGTTGCCATCAGTAATTTTAAGGACTTTGCTCTTCATAGTGAAGTCAGATCCTAATCCATATGAGAAGGATTTATAACAATTATCCAGAGGATAAAAATTTGTATCGGACTTAAGGCTAATAGGCATTCCTATAGAAGACAGGATATTTCAAATAATGCAATTTAAAAATTCATATGACTTCAAACATAACACTTTCATACCTAAATTCCAAAACCATGTCTCCACAACCCAATTGCATTTCAGTGCTCGTTTTACTATGGGTTCATAGTCTTTATCACCACCAATAATAATTAAAATACCAGGATAATTGTTTCTATTGCTGCCATTGCAAGCTCTATATGAGCCTCCTTCTCATGGTGGCTTTTGATGTCCTGATCAAACACATTCATCTCAAATCCTTGATCCTTAGTGCATAACCACAATGAGTCATTAGGAGGTGGTTGAGAACCAATCAAGAATGGCGCACCACCTAGTTTATGTCCATGCTGAACTGTAGTGAGAAGTCTACCATAATCAATCTGGAGATGTTTAAAATAATAGGAACTTCTATCATAATCAAAGGTACCTAACCGCTCAAGGTTGCCAATGGTGTACTTTCCTTCAGTCCAGATGTTTGAGTTATCAATGAATATGTGTACAAGCTTAGTAGGTGGCCTATCTATTAAAGGTGTTCTTAAAATTTTTTTAACCAACTGTTCTCTTCTTTTGGCTGGACCAAGAGATAATCCAATACAATAGAGATCTTCTTCTTTCAAGAGAACAAAATCTTCACCAGCAATTCCACTTTTCTTGATCATTTCAATGTCATTGTTAGTAAGGTATAAGTCATCTCCAGACTCTAAAAAACTAACAATTTGTGCAGGTGCCCACTCTCTGATTTTTTCAACTGAAGGAAAAGACTTCCTGGTACTAGTATCTTGACTTAAATTCCTTTTTTGGTGTTGCAAACATTTGAGAAGTTTGTGATTTGGCAAATTAGTTAACCAATGACTGTTCTTTTTTGTCAAAGCTTCATTCAAGCTAGTTTGATTACTATATGTGAGGAAACACTCCAACCTGTTTCTATGCATAATTTGGGGGTGGTAAATTGGCATAACATAGCAAAGAGTAAGGAAATTGGTGGTGAGGAGAAAGTAGTGTAATCTGTTTTGAGTAAATGTTTTATCTTGCCAAGTAACTGAAAAAATTTGAAATATTGTTAAAATACTCTGTTGCACAAATTGTCTTATGATCTGCAATGCCAATTAAATGTCCAATTATACAGTCAAAGCTCGTTATAGTGGATCTCGTTGTAGTGGACACATAATAAAATCTCATTATAGTGGATCTTTTTTGTTTCCAATGCTAATTAATTTCGCTCGATATAGTGGAAAACATAATAAAATTTCGTTATAGTGGAAAAAAGGAGAAAAATTACATATGGAACCAAGGGTCCACTATAACGAGCTTTGACTGTAATTGATTATGCAGACAGACTATCAAATTTGAATTTCAATCAAACAGAAAAAAATATGGAAAAGATTATAGGTGCTGCCCAAATTAAAAATCAATAATCCCAAATCCCAAATCCCAAATTACTTTGTACAATACACACTCTCTATAACAAACTTTTTGAGCTGGGCTAAAAAAGATCATTATAGACGAAGTGATAATCATGTGGATAAAACTTTATTTTTTAAAAAAAAATAATATATATACAAAAATATAACCATTTTGCAAAATTACAATAAAAATAATATAAATGCAAAGATAAAAAATTAGTTACTAATGTTGATTGTTGATTTGGATCAAATTCTACTTTTTTAATTTTCTTCTAAGACTTTTTAATGGTTTACTTTCATTGTTGCCTAGTTGCAACTTTTCAGATGGAAATTCTTGAGGACTTCTTGATTTTGCTCATTTGGAGTAATCATTAAAATTATTTCTCGTTCATTTGATTCATTATCACTTTCTTCTCTAATCTCATCATTTAAATTCACTTCCATTTTTTATAATTCATTATCTTCATTTCCCAATATAATTCATCCTCATCTATATCAATACTACAACATTTTTGTGGAAACTTTGGTATATTTTTTAATGTGTTGTTCACAACGATTTGCAACGGCAAGCAATTTATGTGAACAATAATTACACTGAGCTCTTTCTTGTTTATAAATGGCCTCACGGCCAAGCTTTGTAAAATGAGACCAAATTTTATTAAGTACATGTTCATTATATTATTTGTTGGGACTAGTAATAATACTTTAGTAGTAATAAATAAATATTTGATATATATACATACAGCCCAAATCGATTGTGAATGTCATAATATTACGGCATCTGAATAATAGCCGTAATGTCATAATTAGGTCGTAATGTCATAATATAGACCAAATGTAATAATAATCAGTGTAATCCTGTAGCCGAGTTTGAATTAACTTTTGAGGTACACTCGTCGATTAATTCATCAATTAATTTGTTTTACGAATTTTCTGCCTCTTTCTTGTACCTAAAAAGCTTCGGCTAATTTGTAGGCACATTTTACAACAAACAAATTGTAGTCCTATTGCAAAACAACGAATGCTTTAGTGAAGTACCTTGTTTATTTGCTTTTACTTTGGTTGATCAAATCCAGCCATACGTTTGCAAAATACTTTAACACAATACAACAAAGTGATATGTGATAACTACCCTGGTTAATAAATGTCAGCACTTTATATCTGGACGAACAAACTTAACACCTTACGTTTACACAAAAACACTTAAATTCTTTTACAAAAAAAAACGCTTACGCTTAACAAAAACCAAAAATTAAAACCTTTGTTTTCTACTAAAGAAAGTAACCAAAACCGAGTTACAAAAACCCCGAGTTCTATGTAGGGTTTCTATTCGAATAAGAATCAATATTACGAACAGAAACTCTAGTTCTATACCACTCCGATAACCAAATAGACAATTAAACCTACTGTTTAATTTCCGACTACAAAAGTGTTTTTATTAAACAAAAGAATTAATTATGTAGGACATTACGACATGATTATGACACTACAACGTTACACGATTTCGAAAGTCATGCTGCATGTATATCAATTTGTTTATTAAAATTGTTGTAATTATAATTTCTTATTTCTTAATTATCTACCAAGTATCTCACTTGAACAACCTTTTTTTTAAGAAGCTAAACCATCAAGGGAAATCCAAATGTATATTTACCAGTGATATTACACAACATGTAAAAAGTACTTTACAACACCCTGTCATCATTCTTGGGTTCTCATTATGATACAGTTATAATTATGGTATTTATTAAGGCTCCATATGAGCCAGCTCGTGAAAATTATAAAATAAATATACATATTAATGAAACATAATAAATGAGAAATAAAATAGTGTAAAATTATAAATTTACAGACAAAAAATTATCAATCCTAACATCATGTTCTAAATTAATATCCGTTCCTTCTTTTTTAATCTTTATTTTAATTTTAAAGGCTACAAGAATATGTTCAAGTTTGATCGTCCGTCCAAATTTTGTCATATCTTCAGGAATATCCAATTCAAAAGTATAATAACATTCATTATAATTATCCCACATAATTTTGTCTCCAATAACTTGTTTTTTTAATACATATTTCTCTTCATGTTTTGAGCCACCTTGGGCACTAAAGCTAGAATATTTTTTTAATCCAACAAATATTTCTTTAATCTTTAATTTAGGACTATATGATTTCAATTTCACATAAACAATTATTGGGTTACTAGGTCCAAAATTTATATCATCCATACGAACGTCATAACCTATATCATTTGATATGGTGGCCTTTTCAGTATCATATTCTACCCAATGTACAGGAACTGGTGGTGGGAGTAAACAATATTTTAAGATGTTACAATTACATTCGATCTTTTTCCTTGGTCCTTGAAACTTCCAAAAATTCCTTTTTCGAGATATTTCTGCAGTAAGTTTATAATCAATATTACCAATTCCTGACCTTAAAGTTGAAGCAATATTTTCTGGTAATTTAATTTTGAATGGTAAATCCTTGTTTGATATTTTTTGATAAGAATTACCCGATTTTTCCAATAAACACGCAGATAGACAACATAAAATATTGGTAGCTGAATATGTTTCAGTGTGAGGCCCATCACTAATACTTCTTGTCCTTGACTCAGTCCAATATACATGCTCAGTACCAGTAAATTTTAAAATAATTTGATTGGCGAGCAATTGATTAAAGTGAAGATTGAGTGTACCAATCAAGTAAGAATCTTCTATTCCTAAACGTCCAATTTGAAATGAAGATTGGTCCTTAGGATATGAAAAGTTTACTTTGGTACTATATTTTCCATAGCTTTGTTGCGATGGTTGATTCATATTGAGTAAGATGTTAAATATCAAAGATGAAAATAATATTTTTAAGATTTTGGAATTTTAAGACTATATATAAAAAGGAATTGGTTGTTTCACGAAAACTGTATTACTTCCTAATATGAAGATGTTCCTTGGAATTCTGCCAATTGACCTATAAATAAAATTTGGTCGATTGTCAAATTGACCAATAAGAATACAAGATCATGGTCAAAAAATACTTTGTGTTACTATTATAGAATACTCTGACCGTTTAAGGGATAATAATAAGGTTCTCAACCTTATAATTACTATTAATGATGACTATATTCGAATGAATATTCGGTAATACATACCAAATCAGCAATTATCGTTATCATGAACAATAGTCATGCACAATTTTTAATAAAACAAGTAATTTGAATAATTTGAATAATTTGAATAAAATAAATGAATAAAACAAATAAACAGCGAATAATGAATAATAATAAAACGTGTAATTCGAATAACTAAATAAAACTAATAATTCAAATAATAATTCTACTCGCATAAACAAGGCCCGAAATATCAATACAAACTTTTAATTAAATGGTTGATTGATTGTTTTTTCACTTGGCCAAAAATGGCGTTATCTTTTAAAATTAATTTATATGAAATAAACAATATACTGTAAATAAAATTCGAATATAAAAATATTAATAAAAAACAAGAGACTAGATCACATGTCCGAAACACGATCGGGCGGCCATATTTTTGAAATGTTATCTAATATGTAGTACCCGAATATTCGAATATTCATTAAAAAAATCGCTACTCGGTAACATTAATATTAACATCAGTGCTAATGTTAAGATGATCATTAGAAGAGAAATTAACATGAAGCAATTCTCGACTTTTTAAAATGTCGTTGGTGATGGAGTGAATCAGTGCAGTGTTTTATCAAACTGGAAAAGGAATTTTCTATTTCGAAAGATATTAAATTGCAAAAGTTTACAATTATTATGAAAAATTGCCTCCAAAAATACTAGCCGACTTTTTAATTTTTCTATCTATTACCGTATAGTCCCGAAAGATAGCATTCCCTTTTTACAATCATTTGTACTGTGTAACAAATAATTTTCAATTGTTTTAGTGGATGCTATCTTTCAGGACTTTACGTAGTCGAACTCCTATTATGTTGAAGGTTTTTTCCGTTGACTAAATAGAAAATGAACGAAAAAAATCTCATTTGCATTATCGCACAATTGTCATTAACCTTAATATACAACAATAATAAGTATTGATTGATTACCCAATAAAATTTTTGTCTAAACAAATATAGTAAGTAATAATAAAGCTATAATTACCTAGTTGATTCGTAGCTAGCAGATTGTGCAGATAGAAAAAACTCGGTTACTTTAGGGATGTAAAGATTCCACAGCAAGTTCACTGATTCATAAACGGATCATCAATTAAATTTTTATACAGAACGACGACATATTTAAATTCTTGTGTTTAAATTTTGTTTGACAAAAAACATTATTGTATGGTAATAATAACCTATGTTAATCACATTCTCTGATTACTATGAAATAAATATACTGTCAAAGTAACCTTTTAAGTCTGAATAAAGAAATGATAACAAGTTTCGACTTGAGAAAGTCAATCCCACAAATTATTAAATCAATAATAACCCAAAATTATTCGTTGATGATTAAATAATGTATGAATTTTTATCATGTGAGATATTCACTTATGTTTCCTTTGTAATTTTTTGCACATATATGGGTGGTCTTTCAGTGACACAAATCAAATATTAATATGTTGAATTGGATGTTAATGAATTATAAAAAATCAGAACAAACTGTGTTGAAGCTAGACTGACTTGATTCGGCTAAATAAAGTATGATGACTAAATGCAGTTCCTATTTTGATGAAGAGCACAAAGTTTATTGCAGCTTCGTAAAAATCAGCATGACTAATAAAATAATAATAATATAAACAGAACTGTTATAACAATCGGTGATTTGGCTAAACCCCAAAATAACACAGTAATACAATTAGCGAGGGTTATGGTCAAAAACGCAAAATACACCACACTCGACTGTTGTCAAAAATGCAAAATAACTATGTCTCATTAACCCGCAATCAAATGACGCCATACAAGTGAATGCATTGTTGGGATGCATATGAATCCTACTTTTTTTACTGCCTAATCAAATTAAAAATTGGTCAATACGAATTTCTAGAGTATAATTAACCCAGGCATGTGGCCAAGAACGCGAATTAGACCACATTGATATGATAGTTCGCATGTGACCAAAAAAAAAGAATTGGGCCACATAAGTAGGTAATAAGTAGGTAACAGTCTCATCATAAGTAGGCAACAGTCTATTGTAAGTAGATAACAATATATATACATTGTTACCCACTTGACTGAAGCTTGATTGTCCTGTAAAGATGATATAGAACAGTAGCTTTCTACTTATTATTTGAATCCAGGAATAAAGGATAATCCTTTCAAATTTATCTATATATGGTGTCACGAGTATATATCTTCCATAATCGGTATGATCTACGAGTACTTATGAGTATGGCACGTCACGCTGGACAAAAGTGTACTACATTTTGTTATAATTAATATTAATTGCATTTTGTTGTAAAGAAATAAGTGCAAATGTAGTACATTTTTTTCCAGCGTGGCGTGCCATACATGAGTATTCGGATATTTCTACGAGTATAAACACTAATACCATGGCATTATAATTGCTAAAAGTATTTCTGTAAAAGAACACCTCTGATTAAGAACACATTTGGCTCAACCAATGGTGGTGTTCTTATTCGATATTAACGGGTTTGACTACTACTACATTAATATTTAATATATTAATATAGTCGAATCAGACTAACAGAAGTACTAGTACCCGTTAATTTGTGGCTGCACAATTAAAAGGGATTGTTCCAATTTTTAATTGAAATAAATTTCCTTTATATTATTCATTTTTACTTTAATAATGTCGTTCATTTCATCTTTTAAATATGTTTCTGATAAATTCAAGTCAAATAAGTACGGAAAATATACTCCAATTAATGAACAGGTTAATATTACAGCTAGTAGTAGTAATAGTGGGAGCGGTAATATTGAAGTAGAAAATATCAGAGAACCAGTGGTGGTGGAAGAAGTCAGCATTACTCCACCTAAAGACGATTACAATATTATCTATTATATTTTTTTTTTGCAAGGAATTTCAATGCTTTTACCATGGAACGGTATTGATTAATATATTATTATAGTTAATATTAATAATAATCTTATTATTATTATTATTAATTAACATTGATATACTATCTAGTATTCATTACAGCCTCGGTATATTTTCATACTAGATTTGTTGGATCACCTTATGTTAATAATTTCCAAAATTATTTTTCATTTGTTTTTATGATCATTAGTTTTATTTTTCTTGGATTAGCTTTATATACTCATGGAAAGGTAGTTATAAAAAATTTCGTGAGTGATGATAATGGTGAATAGATACTAACATACAAAATATATTTAATAGTCAAATATACCATTTAGAATAATAACATCATTAACAGTTTCAGTGATTAGTCTTTTATTATTATCATTATCAACAAAAAACAAGGATTTGGTCTCACCTACAGCATATTTTTATTTTGTTATATTTTTGGTGGGTATATCAGGTGTAACAACTGGTTATTTACAAAATGATACATTTGGAACTGCTGCTCAAATTTCACCTAAATATACTCAGGCTGTTATGAGGTGAATTAATAATAATTATAATAATAATGATATTACAAGAACTGAATCTTAGTGAATATTAATAAAAATGTTATATATTATTTTAGTGGTCAAGGTACTGTTTTTTTTTTTATTTGACCACTATATGTTTATAAAAATATCTAGATAAATATCAATAATTATAATTATGAACATTATTAGGATTGGCTGGTTTGGGTGCATCAATTTCACAAATTTTCAGTATTTTGAATTCTAGACAATTAACAAACTATGGTGATGATGATGTGGAATTATCGAATAGTGCATTTATTTATTTTTTAAGTGCATTTATAATTCTCGTAATTTCACTAATCTCATATGTCATATTGACAAAATTACCATTGTTTTTGTATCATCATCAAAATAAAAACATTAATGTTATAATTGAGGAAGAAGAAAGTGAAGAACAGTCTTTACTAAATAAAAATTTATTCAACATCACATTTACAAAAATAATTAGATTAGTATATTCAATAATATTTGTATTCATGATCACATTATCATTATATCCATCTATCACAACTTCTGTCAAGTCAACAGTAAAAGATGATGAAAGATCAGGTTATCAAAAGGATTATCTATTTATACCAATACACTTCCTGATGTTTAATTTTGGTGACTTGTTAGGAAAAAGCTTACCAATAATCAAATTCTTTGCTATTAAAAACATAGATTTGTTGATGTTGATGTCCACATCACGTATCATATTCATACCATTAATATTATTATGTAATATTGATATTGGTGATAAAAGATTATTTCCATTATTAATAACAAATGATTTCTTATATTTCTTTATTATACTTTTATTCTCAATTTCAAATGGTTACTTGGCATCTTTAATTATGATGACAGGTCCACAAATTCAAAATGTTAATAAAGGCTTAGCTGGAACACTTTTAACATTTTGTATGGTGCTTGGTTTAACAATTGGCTCATTATTATCATTTCCTATGAGATCTTTAAGTTGTGGTGGGTGTAATCCTTTCATTAATTAGAACATTATCTTATACATTTATATATTAAATTGTTGAATTTATTATTTATTACTATTTTTTTTTTTTTGCATGTAATGTTAATTTATAATTTTGTATTGTAAAAAATTATGTATTAATTTTTTTAAAAATAATTTTTAAAACAAAGGACCAATAAAAAAACTTAATTTAACAACTAAATATAATTTTATTCATTGTTCTTATTATTGATTGATTGATTGGTTCCAATTTCTTCTATATTGCCAACTCATTAAGATGCCAATCTTCATAACTTCCATCAGGCAAAAACCTTCGAATCATTAATGGAATCTTTTTTTGGCTAAGTTCCTTTCTAGCAATTTCAAGTGGATCTGTTTCATTACCTCGATCAACAAGAATTGGTGCATTCATACTAATCAATATATAAAATTTTTAATCATCTAAAACATTTTTAATAATATATAAAATTATATCACAATAAATATATAAACACCTAATTTGTAAAGCTCTAGTTCCTAATATTCTAGCCTTTTCATATTTTGTTAAAAATGGAGTAGTAAATCTTTCTTTTTCTGGGATTTTTTTTTCATCTTCAATTTTTTTTTGACCAACTAATCCAAGTCCATCTGGTAACCCGGCAGGAAAAATTCCAATACCACCAATATTGATAATTTCATCCTTTTTTGTTTCATCTGTTCTTTTATCTAGTTTTCCTTCTTGATTTTTTGCATCTTCTGTTGCAAAAGAAAAACCATTAGGAAGATCTTGTTCCATATAATCATCATCACCATCAACTTCAACGTCTTGATCTAGATAATCATCGTCCTAAACAACAACATTTCAGAGTACCCTACTTTTAATAAATATACGTGTACGCATAAAATAACAACATCTATAACTTACATAGTAATTGCTAATTGAAAATGTTAATTAATTTTTAATTTTTAATTGTTGTGATCAAAGAATCAAAATAAAAGATTTATTATCTTTATTAATATTTACTTTCCAAGATCTTCTCCGAATTCTTCGTCAGACATTTTGTTTTGTGAGAAAGAAAAATTAAATTTTATGATTAACATTACCAAACAAAAAAAGCATCGTTACGTTGTACGAAATATACTAATTCGGAATTGTAAAGGTTTATCAACAGTTTTTTTTTTTAATTGAAAAAAATTAAAAATTTTTTTTTGCAACTAAAAAAAAAAAAATAAAAAATAAAAATGCGAGTAAAAGTACAACCACATTTCTTAGGACTTACTCCAGAAAGGTTTAGACGATGGTAAATTTTGCTTTTAAGATTTGACATTTATATTAATAGTAAATATAATAATTATTATTATTATCATTATAGGACACCGACAGCTATTGGGTTTGGGACTACACTTGGAATCACTGCACTACTTTTTACTGAAACAATTCCCAGAATTCGTAGAGAAATATTATCGAATGTTCCGGTAGTTGGTAGCTATTGGAGAAATAAAATTGAAGATCAAAAATAAAAATAATAAAAAATATAAAAAATATCATAAAATTACAAAATTTTTATTTTTTATCAAAATTCATGAATAAATTTTTATAGATCTATCTATAAGTGTATGGCATTGAACTTATTTAGTATTAACATATATTGTTTAAAAAAAAAAAAGAATATAAATTACATAACAAAAAATAAAACTTGATATTTGATAAAAATACAATATATATATAAAGATTAATTCTAATCAAATAAACATCATCATCATCGCCATTCATTCATTATTTTGCAAAAATAGTAAAAGAACCGTATTTAATAATTGCACAAGCAATCATTACTATATGACAAAATAAAAAAAAATGTTAATTTTATAGGTATAAAGTAAAATTATTACAAGAAATTCAAAAAAAAAAATAATACAAACCAAATAGAACGGGCACCCAAAATAAGTATAGCATTTTATCTTGTTTTAATTTTTTGACTTTTTGGCTATGATAATCTAGGCGTGCAAGTTGATCTTCATTTAAATTATTAGGTTCATAACCAAACTTACGATAAATACTGATGTGAGTAGAAGTTGGGTGATCCTCCTCTGGGTTTTGGGTAAAATTTATTGGCAACATATTGGCAATTCTTGAAAATCCCGTAGTATCTTGTCCAATACATTTTGGCGATGATGGTTGTTGTGAATTACCTTCTGGTCTATTCCATATGTTACTTGCATTATTCCAGAAATTAGAATCAATATTTTTAGTATCATTAACCAATCTTTTACAACTTCCACTACCACTAGCATCACCATCGAGTGTAGTTTCTATACTCTTTTCATAATTTCTAGTGAAACCTCCAACAAAACTAGGCGGAATAAAGGTTTGAAAAGTAACGGTTGGAAATTCTAAGTTGACATTCAAAGATGGCATTGATGGCATAGATGGTCGTGGGATTGATATATTTTTACTAAAATTCATTGTTGAAAATTTTGGTGAAGAGAAGTTGTTAAGATTTGGCATTTGTAGATTTGGCATTTTGATGTTTGGTAAATGAATATTTATTTGAGAGGGTTTGCTTATATTTGGCATATGCAAGTGAGCAAAAGTTTTTTGTAGCCAAACTGTTGATGCAGACGCTAAATCTGTAGCCATTTCTGAAAAATGTTGTTTTTCATTTTTCACACTAACCACTTCTGCATCGACGATTCCCTCTTCTTCTTCATCATTATCATTATTGTTTGATAAACTTGCAGCAGTTTCAGATTCTACCCACGAAATTGGCGAAGCTTCTAAATCATTTGTTAAAGAAGCGTTTTGATCAATATTGGATAGTGATAATGATGATAACGATGATGATGATAATGATGATGATAGCGATGATAATGATCTTAAATCATTTTCATTTGAATAGCCCCTATTAATTGAAGATTGAAATTCATGGTCATAGAAATTATCATCATAATCATTATCAAAATCATCATCAGAATCATCAATTGTTTCATTTGACGATGTTTGTGACATCGATACGCCCGAATCTTGGAAATCATAATCATAAATTAAATCAGCAATATCATCAAAATTTCTGGAGATTGCTAAATCTATTGGACTTTGATAATTGAAGTTGAGAATATCATCATCAGCACCAGCTATTATATATAAACGAAGATGAAGATGGATGAATTAACATTAAAATTTATATAAATAAATAAATAATTTTGTGTGTTTGTTTATTCTTTACCTGACAAAAGTGACCTTACTATTTCTTTTCTTCCAGCCCATGCAGCATAATGAAGAGCTAAAATGTTTAAACAATATTAATTAACAAACAACAACCAACATATATAGTATTGAATATATTATACTGTATTTTAATTTACCCGTAAAGCCATATTCATCTTGTACATCCAAGTCAATTTCTCTTTCAATCAACACAAACAATAATTTTTGATAACCTAACATAGCAGCAAAATGTAACATGGTATGTTGTTGACGATCTTGTGAAGATATACTATCACTTTGATTAGTTTGAATCACATCCATTAAATCAATCAAGGAAATAATATTTTTTTCAAAATTATTAAAAATTGAAGCTTGATAAATCGATAATATACTATTATCATTATTCAAACTATTTGTAGAATGGCTATTGCTGCCACCATTATTATTAGCATTATTAACATTATTGGAATTGTTGTTCGTGTTCGTATTCATAAAATGAGAATTGTTGCTGTTGTTGCCTACAATTCTTGTGGCAATATTAAGCGCATCTTCAACTTTTCCAGTCATTTTCATTCCTATAACTTGTAATGCCAATTCCATTAACGCACGATCTGTATCTACTGTTATTTATATAATGATAAAATAATAATAATAATTACTATCAAGAAACAAATATCAAATATATGTATAAAAAAATAATGATGATTACCATTAGTATAATTGAAAATAATAAGGTCTTGATTAGAATGTTCTTTAAAAGTGACAGCCACTGGTCCGGGGGTTGGTGAAGGTGGAAGATAACAAACTAAAGCATTTGGAGACCAAAATTGTGTTTGAAAAGCAGGTGTTTCACCAAAAACACAGGTCAAACCATCTAATAGATATAATTTATTAAATATGTTAAATATATATATATATACACTCATAGATAGATACACACATAAATCTGTGAGACAGACCATAAAAATTACTTCCTAAAACAGTTACTTCAATTCCACCATGTACAGGACCTTCCGAAGGAATTAATTTGTTCATCCTTGGTACTTGGAATTCAGCTATTGTACCATTCTGGTTTATGGAAGCCGAAGCACTAGTTAAGTTTCCATTTGAGTTATAGAAAGGTCTTGAATTATTAGGAATACGTGAATTGTGAAATCTTATTGAATCAGCATCATTTCCTGTGTTTGTATTGTTAATGTTAAATCTCGTGGAACCACATCCAAAATTTTGTAGTAATTGTGTTGGATCATAAATAGAATTAGAACTGTTTATTGATGCTAGATTAATAATGTTTAAATTTTCATTGTTTATTGAAGGAGCAAAGTTATATTGAGAAGCAGATGTTTCCATAATAGAAGGTTGATCAAATTGTTGATGAATGTGCAATTGGTGAGGATATTGTTGTTGGTGATTTTGATGGTATTGATGAAATGATAATACATTGGCATTATTTGAAAGACTAGATAGACTTTGTGGAACATGAGGAATAGGTGAAAAAATTAAATTGGATGTGGTTTCTAGAGGAGGAGTTTGTTGTTTTTTTATATTGTTTTTTGATAATTCGGGAGATGGAGATAAAGACGACAGATTGTCTTTTGAGTCATCATTTGGAGTAATGTTTAATAGTGAAGAATCTGGTTGAGTTTCAATCGGCGAAATGCTCATCATTAAATTATTATGACTGTTGTTGCTGTTCCCATAAATACTGCTAGAAGAAGATGAGGTTGTGGTAGGAGAAGGAAGAGGAGGGGAAGGTGTGTGACGTTGTCTATCATTTAATTTTTTTTTAGATGAATTATTTGAATCAACAATATTACAACGACCATGCTTAGTTCTTAAACGTTTTTTTGCTATTCCATTCTTTGTTTTAGATGATTTATGATCATCAGTTATCATGATTGGAGGTGACATTCCTGTTGCAATAACATCATTTGTATGATCTTTTATTCTAAAACAAATGCTATTTTATTTTATTATAATAATGACATTGTTAATATTATAATTTTAAAAAAATAAAAATAAAAAAATATAATAATAAATTTTTTATTACCGGAATCCAACTTTTTCATTATGATGTCTACAATAACAAGTTATTCTTGTTGGTAAAATAATATCGCCACTGTTGAAGTCAACAATTTCATTACAATTAAATAAAAGAATTTTATTTTGTTCCAATTGCATCATTTTTTCATCATCTAAATCCATAGATTTACTATTGTCATTTGTTGATGGTTGTGGTTGTTGCATGAGATTTGAATTAGTGGTATTGCTATTATTATTATTATTTTTCTTATTTTCTTTTTTACGTTGTGAACGCTTTCTCTATTAAACAAGTTGATTGATTAATTGGCATAATCTAATTAATATTCTAATAAATATATACATAATAATGGTTTACCTCACGTTGAACACAACCAAGACAAGTAAGAACTTTTTTTGTTGTATCACTTGCACAGACAACAGATGCTTCTAGATTTAATATATGATCTTGCGAAACATTAGAAGAATGATCAGAAGGAACTTTTGAATTTTTGATTTTGAACTTTTCTTTTGCAACCATGTATTCAGGTAATTGTAAGTGAGACCAACAAGTGACCTTTTCTCCTTTTTCGGTAACAAGCTGCAAGCATAATTTAATTTGAGTTTCTACACGAGATTTAGCACCATTTTGATTTATTCCTAATATACGAATCTAATAATAAAAAGTTTTATTGATTTAATAATAATTATAATAATAAATATATTATAATAATAGAAATTAGATTATTTACCTGCAATCTTCAAAGAAAGAAAATAATGTAAGTTAGATAAGACAATGTAAAAAAATAAATATGAATACAAATAAAAAGATCGTCAATGATTAGTTACCTTTTATCAATAATATCTTGTATTTGATTTGAGGGACATTCAGTTGCAGTAGATTGAAGATTTTTCTCTCTATATATAAAAAAGCATAAATCTGATATTAACATGGATTTATTTTGCATAATATATAATACATAATAATTTTATAGCTCACATATTATTATCAAGTCCATTCATAATATCTGCATAATTTGTATTATTCTGAGTAAAATTGACAATATCTTGAGAATATGAAAACTGTTAAAGAAAATAAAAAACTTTAATAATTATAATATTGCGAGTAATATAATTACTATCGTGTGAGTAATATATAATTACTATTGAAGGAAACTTACGCCATTATTGTTGGTAGTGTGTGGTTGCTTTTGATTATAAACATCGGCAAAAGCTGAATTATAATTATTGTAATTGTTGTTATTAGAAGTAGTAGTAAACATTTGTTGTTGCTGATGATGATTAAGCTGTTGAATTTCACGGGCGGGTGAATGTTGAGGAGTTATGAAAAAATTGTTTGTGGGGATTTCATCTAGAACCTCAAGCTTTGGAATTAACATTTTCGAAATTTTTTTTTCTCGTATAATAATTTATATTTATATTAATGTACATGTATATGTAGAAAAAAATTTTTCTCAAGGAACTAAAGTACGATGTATCAACCAAATTTGGAAACCCTGTCAATTTGTGTGCATGGCGCAGTCGAATTTCATTAACCAAAAATTTTAATTCTTAAATTTTTCTTAGCTTGTGATAGATATTATGAATGAAAGTGGTAAGTTTTTACAACTTTTATTTTAGACATTCCAAGGATTTTTGAATGATTATGGTTTTACAATTTAAAAATAAAGGTAGTCTAACTGAAAATAAAAAAAGATATCAACCATATACTTCTCATTGCAGATAGATCATCATCCAGCCCAAATTATGATGTGTTTAAGTTGGAAAAACGAAGATAGATGGCGTGCTATATACAGATCCCTTAAAGTGCAGTCGACAGATAATCCTTTTTTTTTGCTATTAAAATAATCCGTTTTTATATAAATGTTAAGATATGAAAATTTTTGATGAATAGATCGAACAATTATAATTGAACTGGCATTAATATTATTAGCCATTTTTAATAAGATTCCCTTGGTAGAAATTTTCCGTTCTTCAAAGCTAAAAAAAGAACATGAAAGAATACAGTGTGTTTCAAAAAAAATGGCATGCACAAAAAATCACAATTATAGATTCATTTGAAAGCTTATCAAATATTTTATTAAATAAAAAAAATCAACAAGAAATTATACCACTTTTTTTTTCTAAAACTAACCCACATTTCTGTTTCATAGACATAATAATATTTTTGACTGTTTCCTGAGGAATTCTTCAGCTATAAATCTCTCAATCCATCAACATCCTTTTTTCAACATTATTTTTTATGATATACCACATATTTTCAGTCAGGACTGTTGGATGGCCAGTCTATTATGCAAATTCTTTTTTCAAAATGAAGGTTTTTGTAACACGTGATGTGTGTTTTGGATCGTTATCCTGTTGCAAACGCCATGTAATATACATAATATACAAAGTATTTATTATCGTTCAAACAATCGTTTTTGTCATGTGAAAATTTTTTCTTGATTTTTAAAATAAATTTACATTTTGGCGCCATTTTTTTAAAAATACACCGTGTTTCATGAAATTGTTGACGACAATAGCAAACCCAACCCAACAGAAATCGTGTAAATCCTAACGAGGATGTAAAAGAATTAACCGAAAACGTCACCGAAATATTTATCCCACATTCAAAGTTCACGTGTCTGACGAATAATTGATAAATTCAATTGTCTCATCTTAACAATCAACACGTGAGAAAGTTGTGATAATTTAGAATTTTATTTTTACATCATTTATAATTTTGCAATGATTAGTAAATTAAAAAAAACCATCATCTGTCAGGATGGCGTATGATTCATCAATTTTACTAAATTACTTATTAGACTTTTTAAACTTTCCATTTTTACGATCACATCAGTATATATATATATTATAATTATAAAGTAGTAAGTTGGTTGGTTTTCTTTTCTTTCCAGATTCTAAACTAGTAAAAAAAAAAAAAAAAAGAGAATTTATAATCGAAAAAAGTAGGTTTGTTGTTATCATCACCATCACCATCACCATTACCATGTATGACATATTCATTACTTTTTTTTTTGTTTAAACATGCAAATGACCAAATAATAGATTGAATTTATGTTGACGATGGAACAAATCAATAGAAACAAACAGGATCAAAGCAATTGCGAGACAAAAACAAACAATGATTCCCTAAATATGACAACAACGACAACAACAAGAGAATTTGAGGACGTCATAATTACTAGAGAAAATATTGCAACTATGCATTCAGGTAAAAAATCTACAGAACATCCAACAATTACTACTATTACTACTAGCAATAGTAGCATCAATGATACGAACCAGAATTATCTTCAAATTGCGTTATTGTCGTCATCGCCTATAATTAATAATGACACAAAATTAAAAGAAAACCATGATGAAGATAAAAATGTATCCTTTTCTAATTCTTTATCAAAAAATTCTCAAAGTAATGAAAATGATAACAGCAACAACGACTACAATACATCTTTTCCGCCTTCCCCTTCTAATTCGCTTTCCAATAATACAACAAAAACACTTGATAGCACACAAGTAACAAAAAAATTAGAGTCAGCGTCTAATTTAATCAGCTCGCCTGCTACTTCGAGTTCGAATAAGAATAGTGCAGGATATACATTAGCATTAGGATATCAAAGTCAAATGCATCAAAGCATACCACAAATCTCACCATATACTAATAAATATTATCAACACCAACAAGCAATTCAATCACGAGTTTATATTGATCCGATTACATATTCACCATATCATCATCAGCATCATCATCATCATCACCATCATTATCAACAACAACAGGAGCGGCAAATACTATCTTTACAAAGTCATCAATACCATCAATTCGCTTCAAAATATCAGAAACAACATTATCATCACATTCAAGCTAATCAGCATATGGTCGGAAATCCTCCTCCTCAATTAACATTATTATCAAATGTTGATGGTAAAAGCCAATCTCTTTTACAACATTTACCAATTCCATTACAAACACATAGTCAACCAACATTAAATCATCCACAGCAACAACAACACGAGCCAACAATACAAACAAACAGTCAATCAACGATATTGGAAGAAGAACGTCAAAAAAGAAGACTTGAACGTAATCGTATTGCTGCAAGACAATGTCGCGAACGCAAAAAAGTTTATGTTGCAAATCTTGAATCAAAAGTCACAAGGCTTGAAGATGAAAATTTATATTTACGAGAACAACTTGCTGAGTTAAACACACGACTTCAATATAGTCCTATGGATGTTCAAGAATGCTTAAGACTGTACATGATGGTTGAAGATTTGAAGTCTAAACTGAACGACGAAAATAATCAAAATGCACATATAAAAGTCAATAATAAATCTACTGTTAGCCAAGAAATCAAGTGATTATGAATAGAGAATGTGAATATGTGAATGTGAATATGTGAATGTGAATGTGAATGTGAATGTGAATGCAAATCACTTGTTTATGGATAGAGAATTTCATTGTGAATCTTTTTTTCTGTAACATTTAATAACTCTTTGATTCATTGTATATTATGATTAAAATAAAAAAAGTCTTAATTAATTTCATTAATTAATCCAACTATATTTTAATTGGTTTTTAACAATATAAAAAAAAAAAAATAGCGAGTTGTACCAAGTGGACAAATTATTAATACACATCGTATAAGTGCGAAGATTTGTTTGTTTTATTATATAATTCGGTAAATATTTATTATTGTTGAATAATAATACTTATACAATAATTTTTTTTTTGATTTTGTAATATTTATTCACGATTGAATCTTAAATTCAAGGGGCATTCTTTTCATAAATAAATTGATTATCTCCTTTTTTTCTTTTTTTTTTCCTCCTTTCTTTTTTAAAGAAAAAAATATGGCAAGAAAAAATACTTTACTTGTTATTTTATCGTTATTTTATTATTTCGTTTTAGTTTTTTCATATCTTACACAAGACGATATTAGAGAAATAACGGATTTTGTTCAAAATGTAAAAAATGATTATGAAGAATTTGATTCTAATGAACATTTGGTTGGTCAATTACCCTTTGAAAAACATTCAAAAATTCACACTAATAGTTATGCTGGATATATAAACATTAGATCCTTTGAAACAACCGAGGGAAAAGGAAACTCAAGCTTGTCAGTTTTATTATTATTATTATCATCATCAATTAATTAATCACACAATGAATGTTCAAAGGTTTAATTCGAATGAATGTAATCTTCCTATAGGTTTTATTGGTTTTTTCCTGCTCAAGAGCCTCTAGTTGAAAATCCACCTTTGTTACTGTAAGTTATTAACTTCTATGAAGATGTTTATTTTATTCCTTACTTAAAAATAAACTAATTCATGGGATGAATAATGAATGAATTTAAGATGGTTACAAGGTGGGCCTGGGTCAAGTTCTCTGATTGGGCTTTTTGAAGAAGTAAGAGGGGTCTTCTTTCTTAAAAATACTATTTGATGATTACTAATAAAAAAAAAATTCTTAATTAGCATGGGCCATTTAAGGTTACGACAAATTATAAGTTGGAACTAAATCCGTATACTTGGAATAAGCATTATAGCATGTTATACATTGATCAACCTGTTGGAACTGGTTGGTCATATGTAGAACCTCAAGATCTGCCGCCGCCACATGAACATTTGTATCACCAATTAAACATGGACAATATTAATATTATTAGAAATCCCTCTTCATCTCCATTTTCACCTAACAATAGTTATCTTAACGGATATGTAATAAATCAAAAAGGAGTAGCTAAAGATTTGCTTATATTTATGAAAGAATTTTATCAAAGATATCCCAAACAAAAGAAATCTGATCTTTACGTTGCTGGGGAAAGTTATGCAGGGAAATTCATTCCATCATTTTCTTATGCTATTCACCATTACAATAAAATAGTTAGAGAATGTAGGTGCATATATAAGTTTTTTTGATAATCAAATCATCATTTTTTATGATAATTTATAATTTGTAATTAATCATCTGTTATGTTAGTTGATTCTAATGCGACTCTACCACTCAAAGGAATTGCAGTTGGCAGTGGGTTAACCGATCCAGTTACGCAAATTAAAGTTCATGGAGAACATGCGTTTCAACTTGGTATTAATTTATTTGTTTTTTTTTCATTAATTAATAAAAAAAATTAAATTAAAATTTTTATTCCAGGACTTGTTTCTAGAGAAGACGCAGATTATTTGAATTATTTAAGCGGAGTAGCAATAAAATATATTAAAAATAATGATTATGTAAACGCCAATCGTGTCCGACTCTCATTATTTGCTTATTATAAAAAAGTTTCAGGGGACGTTAATGTGTATGATGTAAGGAAAAAAAGTATTCAAAATGATTGGAGTTTGATGGAAAATTTTTTAAATATGAAAGAAATCAAAGCTTCATTAAATGTTGGGGATAGAAGTTTCTTTAAAGACAATAATGTTATTAAATATTTGGACGATGATATTATGAGATCGGTAGCATCACTTTTCACAGATTTAATAGAGAATTATAAAGTTTTATTGTTTCAAGGTAATTGTGATTTTAGAGATGGTGTAAGTGGTAATACTGAATGGATTTACAAACTTGAATTTCGTGGAGCTGAAAAATTTAGGAAACTTCCAAGAAAGGTAAATCATCAATGATCATATTATTAAAAATGTTGTGCTTGCTGTGTGATATTTACAAGTATTTAAGGTATTTATTATTTGATTTTCTTAGATTTGGAAAGTAAAAGACGATTTGAAAGGATATGCTGTCCAATATGAAAATATAACGAGAGTTATCGTATTAAATGCTGGTCATTTAGTTCCAATGGATCAACCTGTAAGAAGTTATTATTATTATTGTTATTATTGTTATTTGATTTTATTATTTGGACTAATTTTTCTCTTTTAATTATAATAATATGTAATAGGAGGCAAGTTATCATATGATTACAAACTTTATAGAAGACAAACCATTTTAATTAACATGAAAAATAGGCATTAAAATTAATTTTAATTTATCGTATTTATTTATTATTAATTAATTAATTAATTACAATAATGATTTACACTAATACTAATTTAATGATTAATGATTTAATGAATTTAATAAAAAACTTTAATACTGATTAAAACTATTAATAAATTACCGAATAAATTCAAACAATTAAAAATCATGCTTGACCTATTTGATGAAGATGATGAACGATCACCAGTAGTATTATTAGAACTTGAAGAATCTTGAGTAATAGATGAAGGTGTCAATGATGGTTTAGAAGAAGGAGTAGGACCATCATTATTTTTATGATTATTTGATGATGATGACGGGTTAGAATTTGATTGACCACCTGTTGCAGGAACAATTTGTGGTTGTTGCTGTTGAGAAGATTGAGGAGATGCTGAAGGTTGTTGACCAAATTTAGGAAGACTTGCTGAACCTGGTGCAAGTCCACTATTCATCGGATCTAAACTTGGACGTCCAAGACCATTATTTTGGTCGCCAAATTTAGGAGAAAGTTTGCCGCCTTGACTCGCCAAGTCTGGTTGAATCCCTCCTAAACCGTTGCTTCCTGGTATTGATGGAAGTGATCCAGATGATGGTTGAGATTGAGGAGAAATTGTTCCTTGAGGTGTTGGTAGTTTTTGTGCGTAAATATAATAAAATGATATAAAATTATTGAACGGTAATAATAAAGTGAACATTAACAATTTAGATTGAAGCATAATTTTGCAATGTATATTTTGTTTACAAGTAAAAAAATATATTTTGAGAGAGAATAACAAAGGAGAAAATTTATATTTTCTAATGAAAGAAAGATATAAAGATTCGTTTTCAAGAAAAATGGGGTTTATATAGATAGATGATGAGTAATTATCATCATTATTTATTACTACTTAAGAAATCATTTTTCGTCGTCGTATTGAAATTTCTTGGGTGATGATGATGATGGATGGATGTAATTTGATTTAATCGAATCAATAATTCAGAATGTTTTTTTCTTGTTTTTATATGATAACGATAACGAATAATTTATTGAACTTTTAATATTAACTTGCCAAAACATATTTTTATGTGTGAATGTCGATTAACGGATTAACGATTAAACCGATTAACGGATTAATATTAACGATTAACGATTAACATTAGTATTAGTATTAGAGAATAAATAATGATTATATTTTTTTTTCTAATATTTAATTTTATTGTTTGGTTTTTTTTCATTTTAAGATTACTCATCAATATAATCATTGATTAATTTAAAATATTTTGGTATTTTCTTGGTAAAAATCAATCAAAATCAAAATTCTCTATTTTATGATCTTTAATAATTAATTCTTTTTCTTTTACATGAAAGAATCCATTAACGAAAAATTCACCGAGTATTTATAACATTATTGTTGCACGAGATTTATTTATAGAATATATAGCATTCCCGATTTGGCACAATGTATAAAAATACCGTTTATACGAAGTAAAATTACAGGGGACCTACATTTTGAAATTTCATGGCCCCTCGTCGTCATAGAGCCAGTCGGTCAGTCAATTGATAATGAATAATTTTCAATGAATAATTTCATTCATTCATTTATAAAATATATAATAATAATAATAATTGAAAGGACGATTTGGTCATGGGAACAACTGAAAAATATAGTTTTTCGATTGCATAATAATAACAATAAAAATAATTATTATAAATAATTTCTCCCTATCAATCAATCATTTGACGAGTTACACAATCAATCATATTTATACATATATAAATGGTTCAGCGGTATTCAAAATCCGTATCGGTATCTCTTAAAAAATTTCCCACCGTCTCAACAAAAATAATTAAAAAAAACAAGGTTCCGAGACTTTTTTTTTGTTTTTTAGAGAAAACAATTTATCATTTAGAACAAATTCTCCGAGTAATTAATTGGGTAAGTCATTAATTAATATCTTTATTTTTATATTAGATAAAATTTTCTTATGTTTTTATAATAATAGTAATAGTAATATAAATTTTTTTAAAAAGTGTTTTTTTTTTCAAAGTATATATGTTATTCGTGTAACAACTATCACTAACACACAATAAAAAGATTTGTTTACATCGATTTTTATTTTTATTTTTTTATTTTTTTTAAAAAAATTTTAGATTTTTTTTCTCTTTTCCCTTCTCTCTAAAAAAGCCAACAATCAACAATTCTCGTTCGTTATTATTTTCCCACATATAAATATTATCTGATTTGATTTTTCTTTACCGTGTCACCCTTATACTTATCCTTATCATCATCATCGTCGCCACATACGCGTCATGACCGCAACAGCTTGTAAAACTAAGAGTTGTTTTGAGTTCCTTCTTTCAAATGTTACCAAGATCACCAACACAGTTTATAGTCCACCTTTTGGCACTTCTCACGATATGTTTTGGCAACTTGAATTTATACCTGTAGGTTTGTTTTATCATTATTGTCCAAATTATATTATATTAAGATTGTGTTGAATTCAGCATTCTCCGAGATTTGGCTTTTTCTTCCACTTACCTCTTTACATTTATTTATCAATTAATCAATGTTCTAGAATTCTTCCGAGGAACCAAACCATTGCGCTGCCTTTCTTTTTGCAATACCAAATCATGAAGAGGCAAATAATCCGGGTACATGGTCAAGACGTAATACGTTGAACGCTAAAATTTATTTAAAAAATGCAAGAAATCAAACATTTCTTAAAAAACAAGCAGTAAAAATGAATTCTTTTTCTACAAAATTATCTGGATGGGGTAAATTATCATTATCATCATTACTAATATTGTTATTAATCTTAATTATTTATACCTAATATTATATTATTTAATTCTCAATAAAAAAAAAAAAAGGTTGGGAGGCTTTTTATATTAAGGCTAATTTACCAGATCATGTATTGTTTGGTGTAGAGTTTGAACGAGTGGAAATGGGGCTTGTATCACAAAAATGGCCTTTACCAAATAGTCCAAATCAAAGTGAAATTATTCCACATGATTTGTTAAAAGCTTGGGAAAGCTTATTAAATAATCCAATAACTTCTGATGTACAATTTGATATACAAGGTCAAATAATTTATGCGAATTCTTTTATACTTTCATCAAGATCAAAATATTTTCAATTAATACTTCAAGGTAAATGGTTAGAATCAGAACCCCGTAATCCCAACAACAATAGTAGTAGTAATAGTAATAGTAGTAGTAATAGTAGTAATAGTAGTAATAATAATAGTATTAATAGTAATAATAGTAATAATCCAATGAATAGTAATAATAATAATTCTCAACAAAATAAAGAGAAAAAGGGTCATCGTCAACAAAATCCGCAACGTCCAATATCTAATAGCAGTAATAGTAACAGTAATAATAATAGTAGCAGCAACAGTAGTAGAGTGATTGAGGTGACAGATTTTCATTATTTAACATTTTTAGAAATGCTAAGATTTCTTTACACCAACAATGTTACATTTGTTGATAAAAAAGATGAAAAAAATTCTCATGGATCAGCTTTAGAACTTTATAGAATTTCTGACAAGTATTTGATTGATGATTTACGTGAACTTGCCAAAGCAGAGATTTTTAAAGATTTAAATGTTAATGACGCAGCAGAATTTTTATTTGGCACAGCTTGGCAATATCCGGAGTTGAAAGAACAAGCAATGAAATTTTTTGTTAATCATTTTCCAAATATAAGACAAACAATCGGTTTCAAAAATATTCTTGCTGATCCTTCGAGTTATCCTGCTTTCATTGATACATTTAATGAAGCTTTAGCTGAATTGTTTCCAGTCACTGGGAGTGTTAATACCGGAAAACCTGTTAAAGAAGGTTCTTAAGAGAATTATGAAGGGAAAAGAAGGGGGTGTGCGTGTATGAATGAATGAATGAATATGAGATAATAATAAAGAAAGAAAGCGAAATTATGCAATTGTGAAAGAACAATGAGTTTAATAATTAATAATTTTTCTTTTATTTGCCTTTTTTTTTTAATCAAAAACTTTTTTTTCTTTATTTTTTTTTATTAGATTTTATATGTTCTATATGTTTTATGTGGTTTGTTTCTTGATCAAAATGTAAATTATTGAATTAATATTAATTATTATATAGATACGTCAAATTCGTATAGAAAATTATAAATTATGTATAAATATTTTGTTGTATATATGACACATATAAGATGGATTTAATGGGGAGTTCTTTTTTTCCTTCTTGTCTATGATATTTCTCTCGTAATATTTCTCTTCCTTTAAGTTATTATTTCAGGTTTTATTCTATTCTAGAAAATAAATTATTTTTATCACCTCTCTCAAATAATATTGATTGATTCTCGAAATATTTTTAAATAGTTATTTATATGCTTGCTTATCATTACTTTAACATCACTGCTACTACTACTACTACAATAATAATAAGCTATGGTTATAATAAAATCAAATAATTAATTGGATACCAAATCCAAAAAACCAGAAATGTCTTTCAACTTTTTCCGTCCTACAGTGTCGACGGCGCTTTACTTTTAATGTAATGATAGTAACATCAAAAATTATTCCCGATATCATGATATTAACGTGTGTTCATTTCATCCTTATAATTAATATGGAGTTAAAATAAAAATAAAAAACCCAGCAACAGACTACAATAAAAGCAGGGCCATGGCGCATAAAAATATCAGTCGCAGGACACGGCGGATCAAGTGTCATATATATATATTAATATGTGAGTTCTCTAGCAAAAGGTAGCTTAAGTGTCCTCTGACCAAATTTGCATAATATATATTTATATTATAAGGATCATAACTGATGAAAAAATCAGTCATTGTATATATATATACAATCTTGTAGAATTTTTAGTTTATAAAACATATCGTGTAACACTCAAATGATAATCAACATCTCGTGTAATTATCTTTGATTAGTTTTTCCTATATTAATATACCACTTTCAATTTATAATTTTTCCATGAACAGACAGGGCTGGCTGCGTAACTCAAATTGGCTAAACTGACTAAACTAATTTAGTCAAGAAAATCTTTACTAAATTAGTATTTTAACCCCTTTACACTGCAGCCCCGATTACGAAGAAATTATTAAGAAAAAAAAAACCTTTTTCTTGTTCCTTTCGTGTTTTCTACAAAATCGCAGTAAAAAGTAACTTGAAACTATTTTTTCTATAAACATACACACCGTTATTAGGTCAACACTTTGATAAACTAAGTGAACATGCCCAAACGCTCTGCTAGGATACAAAACAAAACTCCACAGACTACTCCTCCAGCTCATACCGGAAACACCAAGCCAACTAAAGGCAAGGTTATTATGGCATACATATCAATACAAATAAAAAAAAGTACCTCTGGTTAGTTATTAACACGTATTCTTTAGGAGACCCATACCAAACACTCACGTTTTGTCACCTTGGACTCTGTCAAAAATTGTTTTTTGTTTTTCAAAAAAAAAATCAATCAATTCGCATCTGTCCTACCAAAAAAAAAACCATTAGGATAAATAATTAATGTGTACGCGTCGATCAAATAACAAACTTCTTTTATTAAATTAAAAAAAAGAAGGCAAGAAACTGAGAGACGAGAAGAAAATGTGCAAGTATTTTAAGAATAAGGATGGTGGTGGTGGTTATCGCCCGCCACTCGTCGTTACTATAGTTATATATATATATATATATATATATAGTAATATTAATTTCTTTCTGTGCCCTGCACTTTCGTAAAATTTTTGAAACCTCACAATAGTAACAGGCATGATCTTTCTTTGCTTTAACAGAAATAACCAATGATAGCGATAATGAACAAAATTTCACTTATCCAAAAAGGAATGGAAGGGAGTTGATATTTCACCAAAAAAAACACTACAGAAATGCTCTCTCATATTTTAATGCAAACTTTGAAGAATGGAACATAACTTCATTTCACAATTATATGTGCCATAAAATAACATAGCGGGCTTTATCTGTGATTGGTTAATCCATAAAGAAATCGATTGGATAATTTTATAATATGCCGATCATTATTAAACTTTTTAATATTGCTTTCAAGACAATAAAATAAATAGATTCTTAGCAATATTTTTTATTTGTAATTGGTAATAAATAATTCAGCAAAAACATTAGGTGAAAACTCTTACTATAATTACTATGTAATAAAGTACACATATGGTTTGAGACAGCATATCCTATAACGTTGAAAACCAATGAATGTATCATTTACTCACTACTTGATATATTATAAATATTAAATTGTATTAAATAAATTATAAATATTATAAATTATAAATATTAAAGAATGCATCATTGATCATGAATACATGATAGGATGCGATACTAATTTTGATGCTCCGAACTAATGTTGTTTGACGAAATGTTGCCATAGTTATAAAACTGTTACGTCAAATTTACTGCTATTAAGTCAAAATGACATAAAAAAAAACTTATAAATATATATTCCAAGGTCTTTTTTTAAGTATCCCAATCTCTTTGTTTCATTAGTTGTTCCCAAGGAGCCAAGTTTTTCTTTTGCTGAATACAAAAGTTCAATTCCCACTCGAACATTTTCTATATTAATAACGTGATACATGATCGGAGTAGATACAAACATCGACTAGGAATTCGGTACTTTATGTTCCAGGGTTGACTAATTTTAGTGTATAAATTTTATGTCAAAGCTTTTATAATTATTATCAAATTGCTATGTAAATAGTCATGAAAATTGATCAAATTACTTTGCAATAATAGACCAATCTTTATCTTTATCCTTATTATAGTGATCAATGAAAATTTCATTAAGGATAAATTCTGGTCTTTGGTTGAAAAAGTTCCTCGCAGAGAAAAATAATAGATAATTAACATTCTAATAAAACAAAACTCTGATAATCATTATTTAATAAAAACAAAAATAAAAACATTGTCTTTATTTTCTTTGTTTAAAGCACTTTGATAAAAGCAGCAGGTATAATTGGTGCCTTGGTAAAAGGTAACAATTGGTAAAAGGCCACGTTTATTTGCTTTAGTAAACAAGTAAGCAAGGTTATGACTAACGTTGATTAACTAGTGAGTGCTAACAATGATTAGTAACGTAATTTGCTTTAGTGAGTAAGCAAAGGTTTGAACTAATGTTGGTTAAGTAGTGGGTGTTAATGAAGTAGTATTATTGTAATTGTAAATGTAAGGCCGTTAAACAAGCTACTTAAGTTGTTTTGCAAGCAAATCAAAGCAAGCTTGCAATCGACCAATAAATGTAAACAATTAAAAGTATTGCAAAAGGTCATATTTATTTATTTGGTGTCATTAAATGTGCTTACAGATTCGTCTAGGTTCAAGAAAGAACCAAAGTAAATTAGTAAATTAATTAATTGACAAGCATTGAATTAACTGACAAGAGTAGCCCAAAAATTAACCCATAATTGTTAATGATATCACCATTTAACAAAATCAAAAATTGTAAAAAGTTTATTGTTTAAAAATATTGTTACAAGATAAGAAATAAAATAAGGATGTAATAAAAGATAAATAAAAAGAAGATAATAGATTTATAGTGGAGATTAAATTAGTCATTCATCAATTCTTTTACTATTGTTACTAGAATCTAATGTTTATTAATTAGTTAATTAATATCGTTAGTAATAATCAATGGATAGTAATTTTCAATTAATTAATAATGAAATTTTATTCACCTTTGTTAACATTTAGAGAAAGGAGTTACAATCAAGATTATTTAACGAACTATTACTTGTATAAATTTTTAAGCTTCTAGATTTAACAATCTCTTCATCTAAGATTCTACTTTTATGATATGCACCTGGATGTGGTTTGTGCGCTTGTTGTGAACCATTACTACTGCTACTAGTAGTATCATTACTATTATTATTTTTAATAATTATATTACATTTATATCTAGCAAAATCAGCCAGTTCTCTACTAGTTGGTCTTTTTGATGGATTCGCATCCCAACACATCTGCATCATTTGCACACAATCACTAGGCATTCCAGGTAATATTGGTGGTCGTAAACCTTCACATATATCAAAAATCAAACGATGATTGTGAGCTCTGTCATCAAATGGTGGATGACCTGCAAATATTTCCCACATT